CCTTGACATACCGAACCATATCAGACCTAAATATAGCTTCATAGTCTCGAGTGTCGTCCTTTTGCAACTTTACGTGCATATGGGTGGGAGGCGGAACTAGGGACGAGATGGTCGATGTCTGCTGTATTGACGAGATGTGGGCCTGCTTCATCCAGGCTAGTAATTCCAACGTTGCGCATTGCAGTCTCGAGCTCATCCTTCATTACTGCAGATAATGAGATTAGCATCCGGGTCACATATCCAGCGGAGCAGCAAGCGACACTTACTATCGATCAGATGCTCAACGCCCTCCTGGCCATAATTGGCGGCGAAAAGCACGCTCCGCCCCATGCCCACGGCGGTTGCTCCCAGACAGATTGCCTTAATGATATCGGTTCCGCGACGAATACCACTGTCAACGTAAACTTCCATCTTGTCGAAGATCTCCGGACACCGCTTGTGGAGTTCGAGCAGAGTGATGATGGAGGGTGGGCTGGTGTCTAGATTCCGGCCTCCGTGATTGCTCAGAAGAATCCCATCAAGGCCGGCCTCCATGGCCAGGATGGCATCATCCGCAGACATCACGCCTTTCAGGCACACGGGCAGGTGAGTATGCTGCCGCACCCATGTCAAGTCCTCCCATGTCAGACCCGGATCAATGAAACCGGCCATGACACGGCCGAGACCGCCGCCCTTCTTGTCATTCTTCGCTTTCGAAGGTGCCATGGGAACGGTCAGATCCTCGTCCGCCTTGACACGCTCATCCGCCTCCCTTTTACCGGGCCAGGCCGCGTCGACAGTCACAAAGATCCCCTTAACGTTCGGATTGGCAGAGCATTGATGGAGAAGCGAAGCTGACTTCTCCCGGTCGCGGTTAACGTATAATTGGAAGAAAAGGGGCGCTGACGGCGCAGCCTCTTGAATCTCCTCGAGAGTATACGATGAGTTATTAGACACCTACAGTAGCTCTCATTAGAAACCAGCCACGGGATGGTAAAGGATGGTCTGACTTACTCCCTGAAAGACCCCCTTGCTCTCGCAGGCCCTCGCAATAGCAAGCTCTCCATCTGGATGAATGAGCTTGGCCATGGCCGCCGGACTAACGAATAATGGGAGGCTCGTCTCAAGCCCAAGGAACTTGGTTCTCGTGTTGACAGACCGCACATTCCTCAGTACTCGTGGCCGAAGCCAGATGCGGTCAAAGCACGATTTGTTGGCGTTTCGTGTTATCAAATCAGTCGAGGCGCTGGAGTAGAATGCCCATGTTTTCTTGCTGGCCGTTGAAGATGCCACCACCTCGAAATCATGGGAGTTGATCAAGGTGTGCAATGGTGGCTTTTCGTTTTGGAGAACCATCTGCGGGCTGGCAGTGGGTGGTGGCTTCAACCATTCATCGTTGATTGTGGACTCATCCAGGACACCCATATGCCTCTCTGCCGGCAGCTTCGTCTTGATTAAACTCGAGGCATGCACCTCTGAATATGCTTTGGTAGCATCACGACCCGCGTGCTTTAGGATAACTGTAGAGTTGGAACGGTCATTTACGGGAGTCCTCAAAACATTCCGGCAATTCTGGACTCAATTACCTGTTGGGCCGCCTGGGTGCTCTTCTAAGAAATCTGTCATGTCCCATACCTGGCTGTCAACAACAATCCAGCAGTTATCGGGTGAACTGTGCTGAGAGATCTGCTCTGTAGACAAGAGTTTCTTGACCGCCATTTTCTCCTCACCGTCAAGCAAGGCCAGACAGAAAGCCACAAACCGATATACTGGATAGCCGGGCGCCGATGATCAGGGAGAAGAGTGTGGTGGTTGTAACTACCACTGTGTTGCATTCCAATATATTTGCAACTCAAGTTCTTTGAGGATAAACGAAGGGTGAACATCCAGAGAGGGGACCCCACCAGTAGTAATAAATCCCCAGATCGGTAGATCCGCATGGTTCGGGGTAACATCAATGCGGAACACCCTTAGCCGCATGGGAAACCGCATAGCAAAAGCCGAGAAGGAATGATCAGCCACGTTCGCTTGTACATCTGTTCCTACCGTCTGCACTACCGGCCGAGTTTAGCGTCAAGTTAGAATGGCCATGAGACATTGTGCCTCTTAGACATTGAGAAGGTAGACATCATGAAGAGTGACGATGTCTGCACTGTCCCGTAGTGTACATTTCTTATCTGTTGTACGGAATACAGTGCTATGTATAGATCCAGGGACGACCAACAAGCACGGAGCATGGCCGAGGGAGGGCTGCTCCGGCATGCGGAGATCTTTCCGCTTTTCGGTGGAAACCTCAGGCTACAAACTACGTCAGCATGCAGGGCGTTTCTCATAATTTGACGGCGCTAGGGACCAGGTATGAGTACTTGGACAGTATGTTACCAGGAGGAGGATATTTTCTCTCCAAAGTCTGTTAGTTAGTCGAATTTACTAGATTGAGGCGTAGGGTCAGCAGATGGCTTTGAGTTCCCAGCTATGACGAGACTTGACCCTTTGCCCTGGACAGGGATTGAGCCATGGCGTCCCCTGGCTATTTCGAACGTGACGTATTAAGTGATAACTAGTGTGATGCATGTACTAGGTAAAGTTGAAACAGTGCGGTCAAGGCAGGGTGCTCTCGTTGGAGCTACATAGTATGTATGATATGCCACGTGACTGACCAGACGATTGGCTCTAGCCTGAGGCACCGACGCTTAACCCGGTTCCTCGTTCTACCTAAAGATGCTTACCGGCCGAATTAAGTCAGGCACAAAAGTCCCTGATACCTCGAGATTGAACCGCCGAGTCACTGCTGACCATACCAGAGCATCTGCGGCTATAACAAAGAGCAGTGTTCTGGATTTTTCTGATGCATGCTCTTGGTGTAGACAATCTGTTCAGATTATCTGGGATCAGTAAAAATCTTTGGAGCCTCGGAGCAATAGGAGCTAGCACCGCTGCCGCTATAGATTGCTGGCGACCACGTCTCTGTCAGCCGCACCGAAATATTTGTAGCAAATTAGGTATGTCCCAGTCGTGACTCAGAATAATAGCCTTGCTGCATAAATGTGGTCGAGGTCTGACTCATTCCCGGTCTGTCCCAGGACCTTCAGATGGAGCCGTGAGACTTACTCGAATGCAGCAGCTTCTGGTGGATCTTCCACAAATCTGCATACTATCTCCAGCTCTTGTGCATTGAAGAGAAGAGATATCGTATACCACAACAGATTCTCGACTTCAGCAAACATGGGCGACTCAAGCAAACCAATCCGATATGTTGATGTCGGTAATCTCATTGCGAATATGCAAAAGACGTCCTTGTGTATTGTGCACTCGCTGATGGCCACTCTAGATCGGAATCAACCTCAGTGACCCTGTCTTCATGGGTAATTACCATGGGAAGCAAGTTCACGACAATGACATGGATGACATTGTTCAGCGAGCTCAAGATGTGGGTTGCGAGAAATTTATGGTGACAGGCTCCGACTTGGAGGAGTCGCGGCGGGCTTTAGAGATTGCACAGAAGTATCGTACGTTCGTCCCAATTTACTCTCATCTGTACGCAACCTGACAACCTCTGCAGCGGGGTTCTGCTATGCTACGGTTGGGGTTCACCCTTGTCAGGCGAAACTCTTTGATGAATATCCTGGCGGACCTGCAAAAATGCTCGAGGAGCTTAGGGCTCTAGTGCTAGAGGCCAAAGCATCGGGGCAAGCTGTCGCCTTTGGAGAATTTGGTCTAGATTACGATCGACTTTTCTTAAGCGCAAAGGAGCCCCAGCTGAAATATTTCGAAGCGCAATTGGATTTGGCGGTGGAGGTTCAACTGCCTCTTTTTCTTCATTCCAGAGCTGCCAGCGAAGATTTCGAACGTCTTCTGGCGCCTCGCCTCGAAAAGCTCCCGAAGAAAGGCCTCGTGCACAGTTTTACTGGAACACTTGACGAGATGAACCGAATGGTTGCCCTAGGTCTCGATGTTGGTGTGAACGGCTGCAGTCTGAAAACGGAGGAGAACCTGGAAGTGGTCAAGGCCCTACCACTTGAACGGCTTCAGATTGAGACCGATGGTCCTTGGGTATGTGTGTTACCTAGGATTTCTCAGCCCTTTGATTGACATTTACTGTTCAGTGTGAAATCCGTCCCTCTCATGCATCTGCAAAGTATCTCGACGGAGCCCCTCCGCTTCCCAAGGCAGTGAAGAAGGAGAAATGGCAGAAGGGGCTTATGGTAAAGGGTCGCAACGAGCCCGCAGCAATCGCCCACGTTGCGCATGTCATCGCCAAGGTAAAAGGCATTACTGTCGAGGAAGTCTGTGAAGCGTAAGTCCAGTTTCTTTCTATCACCCTCTTCTCGCGTTCCAGTGTGACATGGAATACTGAAAATATTGATTAAATGAGCAGCGCATGGAACAACTCAACCAGGATGTTTGGGCTTGGTGTTGTTACGCCATAAATTCTGGTCAAGATACCTTACCAGGCCGTTGCTCGACTCGGGAGAAAACACCGTTCCGCAACCATCAGTACTAGACCCATAGAATTAGAAGAGGCGAGGCAGTTTGTGGGAAAATATTATCAATGAAACCTACATGAACTGTGTCGATAAGAGTACCGTCCCTGATTCTTTGTTGCCTCATCATGAAACCCTGGATCGGTGGTGTTCGGACCAAACTACCACTGCGAACCAGGGTCCTCGTCTGATCCAACACCAGTCAGAGCTATCTGACGGAATACTAGATCAGCTCAGCGGGTGTCCAAATTAGCTGACTATTGCCGAACCTCTCTTGTGGTGGCATGATAGATAAATATGAGCCATGTCATTTTCCCATACAGTAAGTGCCCGGTGGAACAGGCAACGTGGGAGTGAGGCCAACATACTCAATTTTTTGCCCCTCGAGACCTCAACTAGTCCATGTACGTACATTCACTGCACAGCACTTGGAGATTTGCCACATGTGCCTTGCCTTAATGGATGGTTGCTTGGTATGATTTGCGTCGGCTTACTTTCTGATGAGACTTTGGTTTTTCCTGGCTCACCGCCCTGTACTGTACCTGTAGTCGCACCGCCACCCTTACTCTTGTCTCTTTCCTTGTTTACCTTTCGACGTGAATGTAGTCTTCTTCTTCTCCTTCTTCTCCAACTCTCCCAAGAACAACAACCCCGAGACTTCAGACCTAGCCTTTTGACCTGCCTAAACTTGGTCCCCCATATCGGCATGATGTCTTCTTTTCCTAAAATCATGTTGGCTTGAAGCTTGTGGGTTAGACCCTTCGAGTCTATCACCAACCTCTCTCTTCGCAGATCACGCGCTGTCGCTGTCTAGTCAGATCTTGCATGAGAATCCTTCTTTCGTGGTGCATCGGATCTGTCTATCTCTCTTTCTCTCTCTCAAACTCAGCTCTTCATTGGCATTGTATCTATTCATAGTGCCTCCTGAGCTCTCTTATCCATTCGCTTTTCAGGACTTCGACGCAGACAGCGGCAGGGCACCGGCATTCTATCACAATGACGTCTCCATTAACTGCTCAAAGCTCCAACAGTTCTCTCCAGAGTGTTTATGGTGGGTTGTTTGTCTTTTTTGTGGGAACATCGGTCATGTTCGCACTCCTATCGGCATTGTTCAAGTTCCACTGACCTTCACAGAATCAGTGCGTCGCAGGGAATCCTCGATGGGAAATGAGTTCATGCCGTCAGAGTTCCCTGAGAATTTTGGAGAGGTTGTTAAAGGTGTCTATCGATCTGCTTTCCCGCAACCATGGAGCTTCTCTGCGCTCAAAAAGCTTGGCCTTCGGACTATAGTGTATGTGGGCCACTCGTGTATCTGATCCCTGCTCACCACCCCTCAGCACTTTGGTAGACGAGCCTTATACACCAGAGCACATGAGCTTTCTCAAGGAAATGGGGATCGTGCACGTTCGTATCCTTGTCGAACCCAACAAGGATCCTGCAGTCAAGTCTCCAGACTACGTTATCTGTCAGGTATTGGAAGTCTTGCTCGACAAGGCCAATCACCCTATCCTTGTCCACTGCAACAAGGGAAAAGTAAGGTTTACTTGGTGTTCTGTACGAGCTTGGCTAATCGGCATCGGTGCAGCATCGTACCGGCTGTGTGGTCGCCTGCTTCCGCAAGATTCAAGGTTGGCGCATCGAAGATGTGCTTGCTGAGTATCAGACATATTCTTTCCCTAAGTCAAGGCCGCTGGATCAGAACTTCATCATGGCATTTGATGTCTCCCAGCTCTCTAGCCTGGCACAAGTCTCTGGCGTGCAAATGTGGCAGTCTGCCAGTCAGCCGAAGGCATTATCCGAAGAGAATGCCAAGGATCAGGCCTCATCCTCGGGTCGGCTTCTGCCCTCTCTAGGCAAAATATACGTGACTTGATAATCCTACGTCGATGGAACCCACGCCGTTCTTTCTTATCATCTGTGGTATGTCTGCCACCGCGAGTAGTCGGTGGTCTGACAACGGAGATTCTCAGCTAGGTCAATGTCATTGCAATCTTGGCCACGAAGCCAGCTGATGAATCACACCACCTATCTCTTGTCGCCCCTCGTTCTGCATCAAAGTCTACTCTTTTGATTAAAACACTGGCCATCGATGAAAAGGCTTGTGTATCCAGAGAGAGCCGCCCAAACTCCGCAGCGCTCCGCGATGTCTGGGAGCTCCATCTATTTGACTGCTTCTGGAAGGATTGAATGCACGATATACCCAGTCATTATTTAGTTACCCATGTGATTCCAATATTGTGGATGGGTGAATGGCAGGGATGTGTGTCAAAATTCTTGTCAGAGATCAAGAGAAGCGAATCGCAGAAAGACAATAGACCTGGAAAAAGACTAGTTGTAGGTCATAGTACACTGATGTAGACAGTAATCCACATTGATGGACAATTGCGAGCTAAGATGTCTAAGCCAATCCTTCTGAGTACCTCTAATAGTCATTTCTGTGTCTTTGGTTCTTTGATTGGTCTGTTGACAGACATATACCATACTATACCATACCATGAGCGATTCTCAATGGTGTTCAAACTCAGCAGCTGAGATCATAGAATCTCATACATCATGTCATCGCCTTCTTCAAGATCTTCGATGTCGGATATGAGTGCTGGAAATTCTGGACAAGGCAGTTGACTCGCGATGTCTAGTTCTAATAAACCCATTGCTGTTGTTTGACTATCATGTATTGGGCCCCATAAGCTCTCATTGACAGAACGTGTAAAGTTCTCATCAACTGATAAGAGAGAGTTCGTCTGGGATGTGCAATCAAGCTCGAAATAATCCTCAGTGCCCAAGTAGTACTCAGAACTCCTGTCAATCTCTTCGGTAGTAGTGTGGTTGAACCAGTTCGGTATCTCTTCCATTGGATCAGTCATTAGGAGAGATTCATAAGCTTGTGATTCGTCCAGAATTCTAGGCTCAAACTCGTCCATTCGGCTCAGCTTTTGTGAGGCTTCTTCTTTGTAGAGTTGCTTTTGAGCGAGAGCCCAGAATGCCGAATGAAGAATGTCGCCCATATCTACTGCTGTCAATGAGAAATCGTCCGGTATGTACGCGGTCTTCACACTGTCGATAATCTGTTGCAAAGAATGATTCATATGCAGCTTTAACATGGATGTCAGGGACTTGACGAGCGATGTGATAAGCAGCGAACGCTGACTCATTTCCTGCAACATGATCAGTAACCTTAAGACTATGAGTACCTCAGGAAAGCAGATTACTTCATTGTATCCAAGGCTAAAGACCGACGGCGCCATTCTTGGAAGACTTTGCAGTTGTCCAGTCTCTGGTTCTGGCTCTGTTTGCGCTTGCTCAGGACTGTTGCCAACGAGCAAGTAGCTCATGCCTGCGCGGAGCAGACGATGTAATGCTTGGTGGCTGGCGTCGCAGCTTCTAACTGCTGGTTCTGTGGGAGGGCTTGAGAGGATGGTGCTATCCGGGCTGTTATCCATATCTGCAAGCTCTTCTGCAAAATCCCTGGTATCGGAGGATTCGTGATTGTCTTCTTTATTGAGCTGCGAAGACTGGAGAGTGGATTTTAGCTCCAGTTCTTCAAATTCGGGACCCGGTGCTTTCCATGCCGTTTCCCCGTAACTCGCCATGATCAGCGCAGGAGGATATAGCTGCATTTGGGGGTATGTGGACATAAAATCTAGGGTTATATTGATCGTGGATATCCTAATAGTCTTGATGTACGGCGGAGGTATGAGCTTTCCTGGTGCCTGCAAAGCCTTTGGAATTCTGCGTCTCACTGTTGGCAAGAGAGCAGGCTGTGTGAGCGACCTTCCAATTCCGAAGGCTAATTGAAAGCTCGGAGGGGCTTTCTGATCGAGATATTCGCAGCTTTTGTACATGATGGCCAAGCCTAACTCTTTCCAGAGCTGAGAGCGAGGGTTGTATTAGCAACATATCAGAGCCATCCTGTGAGGAGCATGTTACTGCGAATACCTTTGCATTGCAGAGCATCTCCCCAACAACTGGCACAAAAGTGGAGACGGTGACATTGGGTACGTTATGAGCATTGATGAATAAGTTCAGTTTGATCTCTGGTGCTTCAGCCACCCAAGCCCTTCCCATGGTCATTAGATGTATGAGGGGCATATCGCGTGCGGCCCTTTGGGGTCTCCTGTGGGACTGTATGAGTATGGATACATCCATTGTGAGAGTCAAGGTTGAGTCCGAGGAATGGAAATCGGCTCTGCCTAGGTCTATTGTTGCTTTCATATTGGTTTGTCTGATGTGGAATGAATTAGTGATTGGATATTGTTTTGGTTCAAGCTTATACATAGTTGATGTTTTGACGAGGATACTAGTAGTAGATGCATGGTGAAATTAAGCAAACACTGGCAAAATATGTCAGTGCCTCAGTACAGCAACACCCGACTGCCCAGAAGTGTATATTTATTGCTTGTATCCGAAGCCACGAGATTACACGTTCTGTACTCTGTATTTGCGTCTTATTCCAAATAAACATTGAAAGATAATCCATAGCTTTGTTCCTGTGCTTCGGATTACATCATAGACTTGGCTGCCGAGGCACCAACACGATAAGTGAATCGAGACTACACACTGGCAGCTAAAGGTGAGAAATCCTTTTGTGCCACGTGAGCACCGCTCAAGCAAGCATTCTCAATTCTTGAAAACTCTAGATGTTACAGATTACTACGCAAGATTGGATGAAGTCGGCCAATAATCTTTTTACACAACTAGACAGTCCCTCAATGCCCAGCTACGTAGCTTGTTGACAATCATTTTTATTTTTAGAGCTGCTTATCGATAAGAGAATCACGTGCAGGGGATTTGATTATCTGGCCCCTAGACATCCTCCGCATCGAGGAATCTCGAATTCAGGAGTCCAACAATCAGCGATGCCCAGGGATGAAGGTGAAGATCATTTCCTGGCGGACAAAGATAGCCCCAATGGGCTGGATTCCCAGCCCCTTCTTTCACCCGTCGAGGACCACGAAACTCCAAACCATGCGAATCCCGCCAGCGCGACCCGCAGCAGCGGACAGCCGCATCACTCCTCTATATCCCAGCCGGTCCCAGAAGGACAACGACGCACCCCTCGTACCATGAACCGCGTTCGCTTCGACCTGGAGGAGGAAACGGACGAAGAGCGTCGCTCGGAACATCACACCCGCGACTCAGACGATATCTCATGGCTCGAAGAAGAAGACTACGGCCACGGCGACGGCCAGCGGCGCCAGATGGTCCCTTTGTTGACGGATATCGAGGCCCCCAGTGTCACCCTCGCAACGTCCGATGAATTCTTCCCGGAAGTACACCTGGAAAGTGCTCGCCCAAGGAGCGGGATGCGCATGGCTTTCATGAATATGGCCAACAGTATCATTGGAGCAGGCATAATAGGACAACCTTACGCACTTCGCCAGGCAGGTTTGGTGATGGGGCTGGTGCTGCTCGTCGGACTGACAGTCGCAGTAGACTGGACGATTCGACTTATAGTGGTCAACTCCAAGTTGAGCGGGGCGGACTCGTTCCAGGCGACCATGCAACATTGCTTTGGCAGAAGCGGACTTATCGCCATCTCCGTTGCGCAGTGGGCTTTCGCTTTTGGTGGCATGATCGCGTTCTGCATCATTGTCGGGGATACGATACCTCACGTCTTGGGAGCCTTGTTTCCTTCGCTAAGAGATATGTCATTCTTGTGGCTCTTGACTGACAGACGGGCCATTATCGTGCTTCTGGTCCTAGGAATCTCATATCCACTGTCTTTGTACCGGGACATTGCTAAGGTTCGACATAAAAATGCCTTTGCAGCACTCAAAGACTCACGAGTTCATAGTTAGCAAAAGCGTCTGCATTAGCCTTGATCAGCATGGTCGTCATCGTGGTTGCTGTCATCACCCAGGGCTTCAGAGTGCCCTCCGAGTCGCGCGGCGATGTGAAAAGTCTACTGTTTGTCAATTCGGGCTTTTTTCAGGCTGTTGGGGTTATATCATTCGGTACGATCGCGTTCCAGATTCAAATTGTATCACTGTACTAACGGTCCACAGCATTTGTTTGCCGTAGGTCATGTCACCCAGGCCACATTACCTTGGTACTAATAGCTTGGAAGACCATAACAGCCTCCTTATCTATGGCTCATTAAAAAAGCCGACACTAGACCGCTTCGCGAAAGTGACACATTACTCTACAGCAGTCTCGCTTCTGACCTGCCTAGCCATGGGTGTTTCCGGGTTTCTATTCTTTGGCTCGCAGACACAAGGCAATGTACTCAACAATTTCCCATCAGACAACATTCTGATCAATATAGCACGACTGTAAGATCTTTCTTGCCTCAATGTACTGAGGTATCTCTGGGCTGACTTTTGCTAGATGCTTCGGCTTGAACATGCTCACAACTCTTCCGTTGGAGGCATTCGTATGTCGATCGGTCATGACGACCTATTACTTTCCCGATGAACCCTTCAACATGAATCGGCACTTAATCTTCACCTCTGCACTTGTTGTTACTGCGGTTGCTATGGCTCTGATCACTTGTGACTTGGGGGCAGTCTTCGAGTTGATCGGCGCAACGAGCGCAGCAGCACTGGCCTATATTTTCCCTCCCTTATGCTACATCAAGCTTAGCAATGCCTCTCGGAAAGCTAAGATACCAGCCTATCTATGCATTGTTTTCGGGGTAATCGTGATGGCAGTTAGTCTGCTGCAAGCTGTTGCGAAAATGATAAGTAGTACGTTCACTGCTCACCCGACTAACATGCATCCTGCTAACTAGCTTCGCCATATCTATAGACGAAGGTGGTGCAGCTACCTGTGCTGCCTAGGCAAGGTACTATGAGGGGAATTAGATCTTGCAACCTTGTTTCTTCTTCACTGATGTCGTATAACTGATATATAACTGATAGACTTTATTCAATCCTCATTCACAAATTATGTACATAGAGAAGTGTATGATCAAGGTGAACCATTCTGTCCAGGGCTCTGAGAAGGAGCTCCATGGACTCAAGTGAAGCAAACTCTCTTCTGGGAGGAACACAGGTATCCAGATTTTGTGTAGGGACAATATGGTCTTTCAGTATACTATCGTCTTTCGCATACTGATTTTCTCCTAGAAACAGTCTCTGATTCATGATCAAGATCAGTGGAGGCAGCAAGAGGAACAAAGGGGGCAGCTTGCTACATGGTCTGGGTTCTAAAGGTGAATGTCATTTGCTAGCCTGTATCTGCGATGTTGTGCGCGTTTGCATGGTAACGCATTTGACAGTTTCCGCTCCCTGTTTCTACTCCCTGCCTTCTGACCCCACCACTGTCCTCTTCAACATCTGTTTTCGCATGTAGTCCAATTCTATCCTTCTCGCTACTTCATCATTCAAACTACTTCCAAGAGGAGAGACTGACTTTGTTTCCTGAACTCGGTAGAGTTGAATGTATGAAGTGCAGGTCTCATGCTTTTCCTTTTCCCTTTTCACCTCTTCACTCCTACTTCATCAACGACTGCTGCAAGTTGCTTTAGCTGGTTCTAGTGTGTCTCGATTACCTGGACTCGTCCTCAAATCTATCCTGTTGTCAACTGTCGCTACTTTGCATCTGTTTTCCTGACACTCAGCACCCTCACAGTATCTCATTGTCTCTCTCTGAAGCCTACCTGGGGATCCTAACCCGTCATAAACCATGGATCAAAATGCTGCTGAACGCCTGAAGATGCTCCAAATGGTAGGTTGTGTGTTCCAAAGACTTCTACCTCCATCTTTCGTTCAATTGCCCGCAGCTACTAACGTGATTCACCTCCTTCTAGGATGATCTCGGCACGGCCAGACGAGAATTCATTTCAACCAAAGATGGCCCACGACGAGTGCTCAGTGTGGGTATGGAAACCATAGAAGCAAGCAGAGAGTCCAACCAACCCGGAACGAAAGCCCAGCTCATGGCGCAGAAGAACAAGGCCCAGCTCGCGGATTGGTCGAGTAAGTGCATACCCAGTGCTCCTCGCCCGGTCTGTGGTTCTGTTTCTTTGCTAATTCGATTTCACAGATATCCATAAGACAATAGGTGATACTGCAGACCTTGAAAATCTTGACAGTCTTCTTGATGGCCAGAGTCATCGTCTTGGGCTTGCCGCTTTGTTGCATTCGAGGCCACATGACTTTGCTCCAGTTAGGGGAGGCATGAGTCGTGGGCGTGGTGGTGGCGTAGCAGGGACTCGAGGTCGTCAGAGGAAGCCAAGCGTATCGAAGTAAGTCAACTCACCAGAACCCTTACCACCATCGGAAGCTGATGCACGAGATAGAGTTCTCGGTCAAGGAGGTGTCTCGAAATCCGGCAATCATGCTTCCAAAATAGATCAGAAACAGACTCGTGAGGTCTACTCCTATCCGAACCCGTCTTCACTGCTCATTTACCTTCGCTAGGTGCTCGAAAGCCGATCCCTAACCCACTAACCAAAGTTCGAAGACCCATGTAAGCTACCTTCTTTTTGCTCCAAAAGCCATCTGACCCCTGTCTCCAGGGTTGACTATTCCACGAAAATCAGCGCCCCTGAAGAATTTATGGCTGCTGTTCAGGGTCTAGTCAACACGAAGACTGCTCGCATAAACTCCCCTGTTGCACTGGAAATGTCTAACGGTAGTAGTCCAAAGCCCAGCCAATTGCCTCCTGCGAAGGAAATACCAAGCCAAGTTTTATCTCGCCTCACGCAACCTGCTCTTGCAGTAGATCATGGCCCAAGCCAACGGTCTCCTACCGTGACTAGAGCCCTGAGTCAAATACCTCCCGGGAAGTCGCTTACTCCCCAAGCTCAAGCGCCTCGAGCTCCTGCTCAAAGGCCCCGGTCTACGGCATATAACACGTCGAGTCAACAATCTCTCAAAATGCCATCACTTCCGGAACCTGACAGAGCAAGGGATTCAAGCAAAAGGACACCTTCTTCCACGAACAATACAACCCAAGTCAATCCTCAGAAAATGGTTTCGGCTGTTGACGCCGTGAAGAACCTAAGACAGACACCGTCGACTGCGATGCTGAAGGCGAACCAGACACCACCCAAGGATACTGTGCTCCCTGTCACAGCGACAATGAAAAATGTTCCTGCTGCTTTCAACCTTAGCAAGGACCACCCGGTGAGGTCCAATAACACGTCTGTGCAATCACAGGCTGCTGCACAAACACGCCCGACTCCAAATCCGCAATTGCTTAAACCCACAACTACGCCATTACAGCGGGATGAAGGGCCTCTGCCTAAGAAGCTAGCAGCCAAGCCTTGTGGCAAGCCTCCATGTCAACCGGGTAACAAAGCCAATCGGGTACCAGAGACGCAAGGCACTGCAATGGAGACAATTCCAGTAAACAAGGTGGTCGTCAAATTGCCTCCTAGCGAGCCAACTTTCAAACCGAATGCAGATGTCCCGGTCACGCCCAAGAAGATTAAACCACTTACGAACCTTGTTGATGAAGGAACCGAGAAGAAAGCACCACCGGCGGTGGCTTGTGGCGAGCTTCTTGATCTTGATGGTTCTCCTTCACCCGAGGATGATTCGGCTGAACAGGATCCTGCTGCTACAGCTGTAATGAGCCCTTCCTGTCAAGATCTAGAGGGGTTGATATTTCGGCAGGGCAGTACACGGTCTCCTACTCAAAGAGACTCGACCTCTAGTGAGGCTTCATCAACACCGACTAAGTTTACCGCTATTCTTGATCGACTTATGAACGCCACTGAGACCATGACCGGTACTGAGAAGAAGCAGGCGGTTGCGCGCGACATCGAAGAGCTTCGCAAAGAAGTTGAAATTCTCTGTTTGTCAGAAGCAGGGCGCCGATATTCTAATGAAATGTTCGAGAGAGGAAGAGAAGAGTCCAGCCCCGAGCCCAAACCCGAGCCCAAATCTGAGCCTAAGCCCGGTTATCACAATTGTCATACATGTCAGGAGAACCATAAAGCTCATGCTCATATCCCACTTGAGAATGCCTCGGTGCTCGCAGTTGATGTGACGTCTAATGCAGCCTTGGGTGTGGAAGATCCCTTGACACCCCTTGCACATAAGTCACAGACCCACCGTTCTGTTCTCCAGACACGCCTCAAGGGCACTGCGCCGCCATCTGAGCCAAACAAGCTTTACCCTCCAGTAAGCAGCGCAGCTGAGCCAGTAACCACTGTGCAGGAGCTTCAGGAGTCTTGTATCTCCAAGGCCGTCCATTTGTACGGCGAGCATCTACTCCCCGGGAGGTCTGGAAATCGGCCTGACAACGGTAAGTTATTAGTCTTTCTTATTTTTCGAGCCTCGGGCAGTATTGCTGATGTTCGCACTTGCTCTCAGCTTCCGTCCTGGAGGATGTGAAGGTCCCAGCATTTGAAGGGCGATTCGGTCCAATAACTCCGGCTTCTACTCCCGTCAAACCGAATTTGACATCTCCACTTCTTTCGCAGACGAACGCGATCTCAGCCTCCCCTGCACTACAGAGATCTATGCACGCCCCCAGAATTTCAGAGAACAGGTCCCCAGCATCTCGAACTCCCTTGAGAGGACTGGATGGCTCCAGGTATGCGACGCCTGCCCTCGACAAGCCTCTACGCTGAGCTTCTCGCAACCACACCATCGCTACATAAGGTCTGTACCGTTAGCGGAGTTACACTCACCTCATGCCTGCATGAAGTGGCGCTGAGGTCTATCCGCGTGATATCCCTGTCTTTCTTAACCCCCAAAACAAATCTTCAGATGGTGAACACGCAAGCTACATTTGTTTCGATGCTGCCACATCTTACAGCAATTACTTAATTGTCTATTTCTAGTGATGTGCAAAGCCTTTATGGGAGGACTAGAAAAGTTATTTTGTTTGTAAATCCAAAGCAAACTGGCCAGTGAGCAGATTTCATCAAACAAACCAGTCATTTCATTCCTGTGACCTGTAACGCCAGTAATCCATAAAAATTTGCCTAGTCCGAGTAATAATCGCGTGTCATTAAAGAATTTGTCCTCTATCTATAGAGTACATGAGAAAGGTCCACTGCTACTGTTACGGCTGGTGTTGTTGCTGTGGTGGTTGCTGCGGTTGCTGCTGCTGCTGCTGGGGTGGAACTTGAGGCGTTCCGCCTTGACTCACCCGCGGTCTTTTCAGATCCATGACCCCAGCTCCCGGAGCAGACCCGCTGTCACCCGAGGCCTGAGCATTGGTCATATCCGACAAGGGAGGCCGTTTCCCGTTGACATTCTGAGCCACTGGCCCGCTGCCGTTAGGGAGTGGACGGTTCGGCGGCGCTGCGGTCCCATTATTCCGAGGATCGAGGTTTGGGCGGGTCAGGGGTCGATAGGACGACGTCGACGGGCCTCGATTCATCATGGGGCTGCCGACGTTATTGCTCCCGGGCGCCCCGATCTTCCGGTGCATATCCTGCGACGGGTTGATGAAGTCCCGCACTGCGGTGGCGGCGGGATTGCCACCGGCCGCGGGCGATGCGTTGTTGCCCCCGGGCAGCATGGGTTTGGAGATGGGCTTGCTAGTGCTGTGGTCGAAACCGGCGGTCTTACGGATGGACGGACTCTCCGCGTGCGGGTCGAACGCCGGCGCCGCGGCGGATATCCCGCCGTGCGGGTTGTCACGGAGGAGATCGACGGCTCGCGCGGAGAAGAAGGAGGCGGACGGGGTCCCCAGCGGAAGGGATTCGGGGATTCTTGTCGTCATCGTCGATGGGATGCCGGGTTCGCGTTTGATGGGGACGGACATTGTGCTGTTGTTACCGCCTGTGCTGTTGTTACCGCCTGCGTTGCCGTATGCTAGTGCTGGTGCTGGTGATGCTGCTGTGGGCACGGATGGAGGGGGGATCATTCTTCCATTCTGGAAATTTGGTCGGGGCCCTGTAGGGAGCACGGGCCTCTGTTGATCGCCAGTTGCGGGAGGATTGGGACGTCCGTTGAACGGCTGTGGAGCAGGGTACTGTCTGGGGGCTGGAGGCTTGGATGGCGTTACCATCGCCGAGTTCGGTCTGATGGGTCCCCGGTAGTTATTGTTGTTGTTGTTGTTGTTGTTGTTGTGAAAAGGCCGCTGATGAGTGTTGAGTGGCGTTGGTGGTTGCTGCGCCCGCTGTGATTCGGGTCCTAGCACAACCTCGTCTGGGTTGCCGGTCTCGGCGACGCCGAAATCAGCTTCGTCAAAGAGATCACCTGGCGCGCGATAATGTTAGTGATCAGCTTTCGGGCAAGTGATTGAGCATGATAGCTGCGTACTTCCAAACTCGCCATCGCCGTCGAAGGCCATTGAATCATCAAAGTTGGGCCGCTTTGCGATCGCCGCTGGACGCGGCGGTAGATCATCGTCTTCTGGTGACGGTTTGGGGTGCACAGGTTCTTTCTTGATAGGCACAAAGTCTGGATGACGATGTAGCTCATCAACATCCCATCTGGCCTGAAGTCGAAGAAGAAAGTCAGCAGCGGCGATATTTCCGTCGTGAGGGGCCATCGCATACCGGCGCAGCTTTCACTTTGGTGACCTTTGAAACATAATCCTTGTCGTAGATACAGTTGCCCAGGACATTACCGAAGTTCCGCAGAGCACGCTTGAGCGCATCTGTGGTGCCTTCTTTCTTTGCCTTTTCGAAGGCAGCTGCCTTGCCCTTGCAGTTCTCAATGTGGCCGTACCCAATGTCCTGGTATTGTTCCTTGTCTTAGAATCCGTTCTTGATCGACTTATCCCGATCCTCAAGAGCATACCTCATGATAAGTGCCATCCTTCAAGGTGACTCTCACTATCACCGAGAGACCCAAGCTGATTTTACCGGTGTTTTGACTCTCTTCGACCTATTGATCGGAACGGATTAGCAATTGTTCAGAGACCAACACCCACCTGTGGCCAAGGGCAAAATTCTGAAGAGCGGCATACAAAGTCGATCTGAATGTTCTGAATCGAGCTCGACCATCCGTTGAACCCGAAGACCTCATTCGCAAGATTGATACATTTGTCAGCCGACAGATAATGTACGCGCTGTCCCGCAGCACCAGGCCTCGACGAGATATATTCGGGTCCCAACTTCTTGTCGAGACGGGCTTGCAGGGTCGCGATCTCCTGCGCGGTGTATTCGCTGATACGTCGTTGTGGTTCTTCGAATGGGTTGGCGGAGAGACTCCCGCTTGAATTGGGCATCGTGATGGTCGCTGGGCCGCCCCGGTGCTGGTCGCCAACACTAAAGACGCGCGGTCAGTGTTGGCTTCGTTGCGGCTTGACAGGTATAAGAACACTTACGCGGGCATAGCAAAGTTAAGTTCTGATAAACGCGTTACTGAGGTACTTCATCGAGCAACAGTCATCTGCTAAGCCTGTAATGACTGATGGAAAGGATCAAATGATGCTGTTGCCCCCGACGTGTCGAGGCGCGACGGAGGCCGACACGGCTTAATCGCGATGTCACGTGATGATAATCGCAACGCAGATAACAATGGAAGGTGTCAATTAATGCTAACAATCATGTGCTATCAGTTGCTGATTGAGGGTGGGTGAATGCTACTGAACAGAGAAGGTTCGACAGCTTGCAGCGTGGCCGAATTGAGTCAACGTGGCCGCTTGTTCGGTTTGATTTTGAAGGAGAAGCAATATCGATTACTTATAGAGGCAGGCAGCATTAGGCAGCCTTCCGCTTTGCCATTCTATAACTCCGATGCAGCCAGATTACTATTGTCACTTTGGCGTCATTTGATTCCACATGTCTCTCCTTTCTTCAACGTATGTTTCTATCAGAGTATTTAGGTAGCAAGAGAAATAAATCAGAATGAAATTCATCAAATCACTGAATCACAAGACTTGCGCTTGGGATAAGCCCCAAATCCTTCAGGGATTCGCCGAAAAACTCCGCATTGAAAACTTTGCGAGGGAAGTTCTGAACGAAGCTCTGCACTTCGACTCCATCCTCCTGCTTGAGAGCTGCGGCCACCTCAAACAGAGTGCTTGTCACTGGAACCGTCTTCATGATATTGCCTTTGGGCGTTTGGAACCGCAGACGTGTTTCCGTGTAGGCCGATGCAGGCTTCGAGGCTACCGGGCCGGATGTCGTGGCTGCTGGGGCTGGGGCCGGTTGCGCAGGAGGTGCTACGCCAGCTCGCTCGGCTTTCTCTCGCTCGGCCCGGAGGCGGCGCTCTTGCTTGTCCGCCTCAATCCTGGCCTTGACCCGCTGTTTAGCTTCGATCTCTGCCAGCTTGTCCTTCTTCTTTTGTTCCGCTTCCTTCAGCCTTTGTTTCCTCTCCAGCTCCTCCTTGACGTCTTGTGAATCCTTGTTAGCTTTCCGCCGGATTTCCTGGTGGACCTGGTTAGTTTGAATCATAAGTCTGGCAAGGACAGTAGTCCGCGTACCTCGTTCCTCTTCTGGTCAACCTTATCCTGCTCTGACTGCACCGCTCGCTTGGCCGCTAGCCTCTCTCTGAGCTCCTGAAGTCTAGCTTGCCGTTGCTCGTCAGTCAGTGGCGCAAGCTCCTCCGTTGACTCCGAGAAGTCAGTATGTTGAGATTTCGAGGCGTGAAATTCAGCTTGGGCGTGGCTCCGGAATTTCTTTCCACACTCGTTGCAGACTAGACTGCGAGCCTCTTCACCAGGCGCGAGTGCAGGACCTTCAGTCTCCTCGTCTTCCTTGATCTCATCGAGCGATTTGTCTTGATTCTTTTCGAGCCATTCTAGAGAACCCTGCACTGCAGTGGTGAAAGATAAAGCACGTCAGCAGTCGGCGGCAGCAGAGGGCCAGATGGGAAAAACCGTACGTCCGGTGCCTTTGGCGACAGCAAGCTCTGCTCGTTCCTTGTCAAAGCCCATCTCAATGAGCTGGTCTAGGTCAGAGGCCATGGTCGCACGGGGTGGGTGCGATTATTGCTGATCGAAGCGATAAATTCGAATGTAGCGAGAGGGAGACCCAAAGGCGGGGTAATGAAGGCGGGGGTTTGGGCTGGGCACAGTGACAGGCAGGTGGAAATGTATCACGAGGTTTTATTCCACTCAATACAACGAGAAGGAGAAGCAATGAAATACAAGATTTCGGTTCAAAAGGTGGATGAGGTGGATGAAGGGAGGTCAACACTGAGGGTGCGGGTGACGTACCGACAAGCTCGAGAGCGGAGCGGAGGAACAATCAATCAACTGCGGGATGACCCGCCAGCTAAGCTCGAAAGTTGAGCCAGTCCCAGCTTCGTTCCTAGGCCCACGGTCTGGGCTCTGTCAGTCGATAGTCTTTGACTATAGGTGGTTCGCACCTTAGAGGAACACCCATTTTGCTCGTCAAGCAGCCTGTAAAATCTTGGTGGTTTGGCATTTCTGCTTGGGGCACAACTGCAATCTACGCAACCTGCGTGAGAATTCTACTTCTATAGATCAATCTCGCCTGCGAAGAGAGAAAGAAAAGCCGCAATGACTTATCATTACAGTCGATGAGTGAGTACTATTGAGTATCAGAACTTCTGCGAAGTTGATTACTCACTCAATGAATCACTTAGGTGCATGTTCTGCAAACGTAGGATAAAGATGTCCCAAGATTGGTCATTCGAAGCAGGTCGAATCCCGTTCGAAGTCCCATCCAGTTAGAACACGCTGTTGACACCAGAGTATTGTGGCTTGTTTCATTACACCTGGATCCTGGACCGGTACTCCGAGACGGTTGAGCGGACTCTTTTCTCAAATCAGGGCCTTCGGCTTCTCTGGCTTTGTCTATGTCTGTTCTCTCCTCGGCCACGTTTGACTGCTAGGACCGAGCGCAAGAGTCGTAGTCCTGCCTACCAGCTGCGCTCTAGCTGAGTACACGTTGTAGCCGGTAGTACTAGGTACTCTGTAGATCGTCTCATGTATCTAGCGGTGAGTCGCCCCAAACCAATAGTGATGCTTCATAGCAGGCCCGAAAAGAATCGGTGTGTGTAGCTGATTGTCATCAGAAGACCACCTACCTCTTACGGGGCCGTTCCTCGTTACCTTGGCTTGTAAGATTCGAGAGCCGACGTAGTATGAAGGTGAAACTGCACATTCCAGAGATGATCATGCTTGAAGGATCAAGGCGTGGTAAACCCGTCGCGTGCGATGGGCTGCGCTATATTGTCCTTTGCGGGGTGGTGGAAGATCAACAATGCATGCAAGATATTGGCCTGTTTCGATTGACAGGATGAGATATGAGAGTGGGAACTCGGGGACCGGTCTAGTAGTCACAATTAGGTCTAGGTCAATTGGTAGTGAGTATCCGTACGATGTACGGAGACTTTGGTATTTTTAGACGACGTCAAGCAGTGGATCCCGAATCTATGGACCCAGACAGGCGTGGCCGATAAATGATGGAGCCGGTACGGAGTAGATCTGTCCAAAATGTCCGATCGCAACAGGCCATGAGCATTGCGGTGCGCGAGTATGTGACTCAACTCAGGATGTACCGTGACTGAATACTGTATATGTCTAGTACAGCGATTAGTTTGTCTGCCTAGAATGCAGGTACTGGCCACGAATAATGCCTGAAACATGATGTCAAACGCCTTGATGACATCACCTGACCTGGACCTCCGTGGCCGTGCTGAGTCAGCCCCTCCGGCCCAACCAGCAGCTGCGATGCCGAGTCCAACACATCCATCATTACTACTACTCGGACTATTCCAGCCTCTCCTCACTCTTCCCCCGATTCCAATTGCGCCTAAACATATATTCGCCCCGTCCTTGAGTTGGCTTGACCTTCGCCTTGTGTCTATCTTGCTCAGATATTTATCTTCTTAATATTCTCTTTGTCAGGTATTTACACATTCTCTCCAGCCAGTTCTACGCACTCCGTTGGCTTACTCTAACCTTGTGCTGATTCTCTTTGTCACTCACTCTAGCGCTCTCCCTCCTGTAGACAGGAAGACTCTCCCGCCGCTCTGTTCCGCCGTTCCTTGGTACCTACACCACTCCTTATCCGCGCAACCCCCTTCTCCCGCTCGAACGACTTCGACGCTGCGTATTCGCTATGTCTATCATTCTCGATCCCCCGGAGCTGGGCTTTCAGCGTGAGCAATATTCCCCTTCCCCTGGTCGAGCTTCTATATCAACCAGGGGCCGCCCCGCTTACCGGTTCCAGGTCCCTTTAACCGTGAGGTGTGTCAGATGTTGCACCTGAAGAACGAGAGTGCGGAGCCCGTCGTCTTCAAGGTATGTATACAAGCCGAATCGGATTAAATAATGACGAGCAAACTAACAAGCTCGCGTATACTAGGTCAAAACCACCGCCCCTAAGCAGTACGTGGCCAGTCCCTCCTCAACACACCTGAGTAACCGATACGTTTGAATCACAACTGACTGAGGGCCAGCTACTGCGTTCGTCCCAACTCGGGTCGGATAGATCCTGGCAAACATGTCGATGTTCAAGGTCGGTCTCACTGGGCTCCCTTTTCAAAACCCCTTGACTCGGCTTAATACCTGACAATTGCGATAGTTCTGTTGCAGGCCATGAAGGAGGAGCCTGCGCTCGATGCCAAGTGCAAGGACAAGTTTCTCGTTCAGACAGTCGCGGTTACTCGTGATATGGAGTTCGCCAATGTTACCTCGATTGTTGGTTTTCCG